ACCCACAGAACGACTCTAATGATTTTTACCCTGACCTCTGACCTCTGCCCACAGGATGACTCCATCCAGTCAGTGGTGACGTCCAGTTCCCAGCCCACCTCTATCCCTCTTCTCATGGCCTGCACAGCCAACGTGAAGACAGTGGTGGCCAATCCCATCGTCTACCTGACCAACTTAGCTCATGACATCTTGCAGACCATCAATGCACTTGACTCACCTCCACATCCTGATGTGGTTAACAATGAGGTGAGCTGGTCACATTTATGAATTTCATTTATCTAGCAGTGAGGTTGTGGGCCGTGAAACGATGAGCTAAAAGATGCCGTAAAACTCAACAGAGCAACTGCACAGTAGAGTTTGTTGCTACAAGTGACACCTTTGCATATATCTAGAAGAAGCAAGTCCGCCTCGGAAACGTTTATGCTAATTCGTGTTTTTCTTTGATCATGGCTGTTATTTCAGATCTACGTGATGCACACCTTGGCTGCTTCCTTGTCTGCCTGTATATATCAGTGTCTGTGTGACGGACACACCTTCAGGTAAATGTCTCCTTATCTCTCTCATTCTCACTCGTTATTCTTTTTTGGCTATCAGGTTACAAGGATTTTTCCACAAAGCACCATATCCAGCAGCTTTATACTGAAGTCATAAATCAAATCATTTGTACATCCCAAACCTTGAGCTTTTTTCAAGCCATCCATTTCTCAACAATGATGAGGTAATGAGGGACTAAATCTTTGCACGTCCCTGGCCAGTCTGTGAAAAAAAGCTTTTATGCAGCTTGACTCAATAAGGTTTGAATTCTTTGTGGGTATCTACAAAGAAGCCTCTCTCTAAGCAGGATTCTTGAATTCTTATTTGTTTATAGTGATGCTTAACTTTGATACAACTTTTTCATTTCCTATCACATTCACCTTGACTTGATTCCATTAACAACACTAGCTGCCACTGGATTATTTATTTGTCACGAGTGATCTGATTTTTATTTTCCTATTCTTAGCGCTGCCATTTCAGTGGACATAATGCAGACAAAAATAATGTTAATTTGTGTCCTCTGGTTACATGTGCGTGTGTGTCTGTGTGTGTTGGAGGGTTTTTGGACTTATTGGAGCAGAATAATAAGAACTAAGGAGGAAGGATATGGCTGCTGGTAACCAAGAGTACTTGTGTAATGAGAGGGTTGTGCACACATACAGTTCAAGTCAAACACTACAAATTTATGACAAAAGCAGAACATCATTTTCAAGATGTCTTCGTTTTTTTTATGAGCAATCATCTGAGCACATGCTTTTATACTGGTTTTACATAGCGCTATATTGATGTGATTCGTGGTAAGGAAAAACATCTTGGAAGTGTGCAAACTAAAAATACGACAGTCTCTTGTCTGTTTTGATCTTGTTGAAAATAATTTATGAAAGCTGCGAGGCTGCTGTTTATAATTCTTATTTTAAATACTTAATTTGATCTCTGGTTCTGGCAGATGGAAGGAACATTGTTCATCTAGGATGCGAGTGTACCACAACTCCCAATCACTTTGACAGCAACCCAGTAGGAATTAAACTGTGTGTGGGGCATTTGTTTTTTCTTTTTCAATAAAACCCATCTGGCATACAGCTGTGCTGAGTTCCTATCACGGTTCTGCCATATTGCTCGATGTTGTACATAATTATTTTAACTTACGCTTGACCAAGCTGGGACTTTAAAAGCCTCAGTGCTGTGACACCACAGATAGAACTGCTATTATCAATTCAATGATGTGCCAAAGAGAAGAATTTTAAACAATAAGAGAGGAATTCATGTTTTCAGAGCAAACTCTTTGAACGGGATATTTCAAACCTCGCCCAACTAAGTAACGTGATTCAATGAGCAGTTGGTTTTGCATCTTATCCTCTATATACTCAACACATGTACATAAACAGCCATCTGTCACACACTGCTGGGACTTGCACAGTCCGACTGAATTGGCAAACCTTTTTGAAATTTAACTCTCTCTTTGTTATGGTAATTATGAAATAAACTCTCCTGGTTTTTCTCTGCAGAGGTTTGAGGACATTGTGCTTCTGTTTTTCTTTTCCCGCTTGTGAGCGAGAGAGTGAGTGTGAATTTTTAAAGGGTAATTCATGATGTAGGTTGCGGGGGTTGAGTGTTGCTGATGGTATTGTGATGCATTTTAAGCTTTTTAACTTAACTAAGTTGTATTTACTTGACTTTTAATAAAATAACCAATAGGTGATTCTATATGAAGCATGAATTTACTTGAGTTTGTATCAAACTTGCTGCTGTCTTCATTATGATGCTTTTATCCTCTTTTACCTAACAGCATAGAAAGGCAATAGTAGCGGGAGCTGCAGCTCATTAGTATTTCATGTCTTGATGGAACAGTTTGACTCTGGTGCCTCTTTCTTAGAAACTGTTGTTTCCCAGAATTCAGAACAAAGTTAAAACATTTAAAATAAGACATTTAGACATAATATATTTATACCAGCTAACCCCATTTTTAAAAAATGTCACTTTTCAGGACAGAATTTCATAAATGTTTTGTTTTGTGCCGTCACACTGACTCCCCTGGGTCCATTTCTTTCATCTGTTTAATCTCCAACAGCCATGTGAACCATTTCACTGGGATTGTTTACCAGAGTGTGTTGCTGTCTCAGAAACAGCCAGTCAGAGCTGTCAGCGTGGACGAGTCGGTTCAGCCCAACACTTCTCCTGCACAGTGGCCAGGTAAATCAACCAAGAGACTGTCAACAAATAAGAGAACAAAAACAACAGCTCTCCTGTCCTGTATGTAGCATTGAGCTACAATATGAATGAACAAAACAATGTATAGCTAAAATCAGCTCATGAATACAGTTTTATTTTAAATGACAGCTGAATACTTCTTTAATTTTCACCAAACAGGACTTGAACCATAACAAAGATGGCATTTGCTGGAAAGTATTTTAAGGTCCAGATTAAAACACATTGGTGCTCAAATGAGCATTAATGGCTGCAGCTGATCTTTACTTGCTCTGCGGCTGAATTACTGCAGGTCGCTTTTAAAGATTCAGAAAGAAAGCTGTGACCAGCATTACCAAAGGCCAAGAATACAGCCCATTCCAAACAGACAGGTCTAGAGCAGAAGCTTAAAACCAATTTAATGAATTTAACCATTTAATGTTGCCTTCTTCTGTTACGTGTGAATTCTAGGTTTTATGTCATTGATTTAACCAGCTAAGTATTTTGGACAACTTCTAAAAATAACTTGTCGTTTAAAGGGCTTTTACAGATGCTGCCATCTCATCCCTCTCTCCAGGTATCGCCTCTCTCATCCGTCTGCTGAGCTCAGCAGGTGAGGAGAGCCAGCCAGGCTTGGCCGTCCTGCTGTGCGAGATCCTGACTGCCGTTTTCCTCAGTCTATTTGTTCACGGCATGGCCACTCACTCCAGCAACGAGCTGTTTCGCATCATGGCCCACCCTCTCAATGGCAAGCTCTGGGTAACAGTGTTCGGAGGAGGTGCTCGGATCCCTGTCATGGAGAAACCTAACAGCCCAACAAGAACTCCCCCACCAGGTGATTGTTTCTAAGGTTTTCTATCTGTCGGTGAGTGATTGACTCTCTGTGTGGGGTTTTTCTCTTGGTAGTGACCCAGTAGCTAAATCAAATCAGTCCTGCTAAATTAATTGGGTTCCCGTCTGTGGGTCATAGTGAAATCCATTAACCGATTAGTGTGGGAGCTGTTTCGATCACTCTCTTTGCTGCTGCTCTCTCATGGTTGGCAGAGGAAACCTGATGTAATATCATTGTAACCCCTGTTTATCTCACACATTGAAGGTATTTTGAACTACATTTTCTTTGTGTGTTTGTATATTTTTATATTTAAAGGTAATGTAATTGTCATAAGTTAAAAAAAATTATAATTCAAGCCTGGCATATGTATTTTCATGATTTTAAAAAGCATGTGTCATTGTGGGTTTGACTGCAACTGCTAGTGTGACAGTTTTTTTTGGCCCCCTAGCCTCTCCCAGCGGCTCAGACAGAAAGTCCAGACGATTCAGGCTTCTGTCATCACGCAGTGGATCCAGAGAGGAGTCTGGGATAGAGCGGGAGGGACCATCCAGTCCCAAGCATGTCCCTGTAGTGGAACAAGAGGCTGCCTCCATCTTTAAAGAAAGATTTGTTCCTCCAGAGCTCAGCATTTGGGATTATTTTATTGCCAAGGTAAAAAAAAAAGAAAAGAAACAGCAGTAAAAACACTGCCATTTAGTATCAACTCCTTTTCTTACCTTTCTGAGTTTAGCCTGAGTAACTTTGTTTTTCATTAACGTGATGTTTCATTGTCAGGATCCATATATGGTTTGATTATAGTATGGCTATGCAAATAAACTAGGAATTTGTAATCATCCAGATGTGATTATCTGCTGTTATAATTGACATCTACTAAAGCTGAGTTGAGAGAGTGGCTGTCTTTTTCGTTAAGCTAACAGTTTAATTAACCACCTCTTCATTTATGTTATTGTGCTCTTGTATCTTTCAGCCTTTGCTGCCACCATCGGAAAACAGAATTGAGTACGACTCTGAGGAGAGCCAGGGCAGTCAAGATGAAGACGAGGATGATGATGACTTTGAAGACGTCTTTGACCCCAACTCTCCGCGGAGAGAGCATTCAAACCACAATTCATACAGGTAATGACCCGGCACTGAGTAGATATTACAGCAAACAGTGTCCGTCTACAGATTCTATTCAATTACACTGCCTCTAAATTTCACCTCCATCGTGAGTTGATGTTTAAAAGTGTAATCTGCTTTGTAACGGCTTCTTCTCTTAGTTGGTGTTTAATGCGGCTGGCAATGGTTCAGCTGGTGTTGGTCAATCTGAAGTCCTTTTACCCAATGGCAGGATATGATCTTTTAGGTAAATACACCACCTACCCTCTGATGTATTTACGTTCAGGAAGTATATAAGTGTCTGAGCTAATATTATTGCTGTCTTGTATCTGCCTGCGACTGTTAAACACAGATCTGCCTGTGGGCTCTCCTCTGTGTCACGCTGTGCTGAAGACGCTGCAGCGCTGGGAGCAGGTGTTGCAGAAAAGACTGGAGATCTTCGGAGGGCCTCCATCCAAATACATCTCCACACACCTCCAGGATGAAACGGCCACACCTGGCCCCGCCCTGCTCAGACACAAAGTCTTGTTTGAACCGTCCAACACCCCATTCAGGTACCAAAGAGAGCTGGGTAACACAGTCAGTCTCAATACGCTCACTGAACCAAGTTGAATAAATGTTAAAGAGAAATTTGAATGTTTTTTATATTTAATTCTGAAATATGTTAGCCATAGTGGTTTTGTTATCCCTGCACAGATTGACCCTCTGTATATTTCTGGGGTTGTGTAACGTGTATATTATGCACTGTAGGGATTTATTGTTCTTGGAAGTACAACATTGTGCCTGTGAATTTGCTGTATCTTGCCTTAAGCTGGAATCAAAAATACAGTTTTTTAACACATTTGGTTGTGCTTCAGTAAACTAACGGATGAAATGAGCATAACTGTTAATATGCAGGAGATGTTCTGTTCTTTCTAGGACTAGCCAGCATTCAGCGCTGCCAGTGAAACGTTTGTGGCAGTTTCTGGTCAAGCAGGAGGAAGTGCAGGAGACTTTCATCAGAAATATCTTCACCAAAAAACGGGACCCGAACGAGGTACACCATGTTTACACCAATGCCAACCCCCTGCATGAACTGTCTCCATGTTGCACAGTTAGCACGTTGTATTAATTGTCACTGAATAACACATTAACTGTTTTGTTATGATTAAATACTACAGCACATCTCTGTATTTACCCCCCAGGCAAACTGCAGTGTTATTGCTTTTACATCTCTGTTGGCACATTTGTGCTTTTTTTGTCCCGCATGCCAACCACATGTATTATTACTGCCTCCAGTTGCATGATGATGCTTTTAATTTTATTCAAATAATTACACCCTGTTTGATTAACATTACAATAATTCAGTTTCTGTGTGTGTTTGCATGGTTCATCACTGGTTGTTATGTGTTGTTTGTGTGTGTGTGTGTGTGTGTGTGTTTGTGTGTGGATGTGTCCGCCCAATGCTGCTTCCCCAAATCATTAAAGTCGGTCGAGGACCAGACTGGCAATATGAAATGTTCAGTGATGGAGGAGACAGGAAACAATCAGGTACTGTTACTTTAGCTAAATATTGTTAATGAGCGATATTGGAGTGGCATGGTAATGGAATTAACCTCAGAACCTTTTACAGTACTTCTAATTGAATATTGTGGAAAAAATTATAAATTATATATAGATGAAAATATAACTGATTATTCGTGATTATTTTGTGGTCTTAAGTGTTGACTTATTAAATTCAGATGAGTTTAAAACAAATTTCAAAGGTAATGTAGGTAAAAGTTTTTGCGTATATGTGACATGTTTGCCTAACTTATTATTCTATCTTCTTATTTTATTGTATCTATTTATTTATCTTAATAAATACATAAACTGTAGAATAAGGTATTGCATAGGCACTAAAATGACTCAGCCCTGAAGGGTTAGGACAAACGTTGCCATGTTAGATCATCGGAAATAAAAATGAATAAAACCATAGTATTTGCTGGTTTTCATAGCATTAGCACCTTTTATTTCTCATTTTGACATTCAGAAAATCATCAGTCTGAATCATACAATCAAAGGTATGGTAACATGAAATACATTTCCAACAACCACCTTGCACTAAAGGATGGCCTTGTTTTATCTGAGAGTTTTGTAGCATGCTCATAAAAATGTGTGATGCAACATCAGACTTGTCAGTGATGAAATCATCTGAGATGTTTTCGTCATTGAAAACAGTTTTTTTCTGATAAGACCATTGAGAAAACAGAATCATTCTCTATATAGATGTTGTTAAACTGTTATGAAACTAACATCACATACCAAAAGGAACATGTTCATCATACACCTTTTATTTACCTTCTACAATAGAATAGTAAATGTGACTTGTCACATATAATCTTAAAAACATTGAAATTGTGAACTTGACAATATAACAGTTTGCGTATTTCAAGCCTATGAACTATGAATGTCCCTCTCAGTGTTAGGTATTAATCTTGCATTTAGCAGTCTAAATATTCATGTGAATGTGAGCCATACATCTTAAATTGCACTGTACACTTATGCTTCATAGAGGTTTCTAATCTTCTGGCTCCTGCTGTGCAAGCTGCCATGTTATAGTAACTCCATTTGGCTCAGTGTTAATTAACCCACTTTCTCAGAGGACAAGCTATGAAGCTGAATAGCTTCTGATTTATGGGCCCAGCACTGTCGCAGTGAATCTGAGTGTGTTCGCAGCAAAAATGCCAAACCGCCATATTTAGATTTCTGCAAGTCAAGTTTTGCTTTATTCCGTCTGACAGAAAAAGACGTGGTCTTTTCCTGTTGAATAATACAGTAGAGACTTTAATTCAGTCTCATGCTAAAAGGATGCCTGCCTCATTTTCAGCAATTTTGGCACCAAAATGAAAGAGCTAAGATACAGTATAGCATACTCTGCTGCTATTGCATACATCCCATAGGACCTATATGGTTCAGTCTGTTCTCGTGCTCATCGCTCAAGGGTTGTTGTGTTCGTGCTGTCTAATGGCACAAACCTAGTTAGTATTTGGCTGCAGTGGTTAATAGTGAGGCCTCGCATGCACCTAACATGTTTTCTCCTAAAGGCAAAAACATTGAGTGGAAATATAACATCGTAAGTCCGGCCAGAGGCTTGATTCTTCAATTGTTATCTTCAAATTTAGACCCTTTTTTTTTATCAGCCCCTTCCATGGATCGTGTCAGGTCATTGGTTCTGTAGCATGAAGAGAAATGTATCTGAAGTCAAGGCAGCAAATGTTTACCAATGTTTCAGCTGTGATCATTGAATATGCATGCTGATGTTATTGTTGCATGTGTGTATTTGTTCCTCTGTGCAGACAGGGTCAGAGCTGGGCTCCCCTGGAGGAAAAGCACGCATCATCCACAAAGAATCTGACATCATCACAGCCTTTGCCATCAACAAGGTACAACTCTTTTACACAGATGTCACTGAACAACACTGTTTACTCTGAGAAAAGCTCAGGGCTTCATTGGTTTATCAGTCTGTCTGACCTATACTGGTCTTTCTATGTCCACATTCATCATAATGTCTATGATTCAAATTGATTAGTTATTACTGTGGAGGCCTGTGTGTTAGTCTCTGTTTTAGTTACTGGGAGAACATTAAATGCATAGACATATGGTCAAAGGTTTCCTTGTTGCTAAAATATTGAAATATTAGTTTCTATCTACTTGAAAATTGCAAACAAAAAAGTAAGCTTCGAAAATAAACAATTTAAATGTCAATCCATTATCTATGACACTTTTCCTGTGAGGGTCGCAGGTGGGCAAGGCCAGCCCTATAAACATTTATATCCATGACTGAAGGTATGGGTATGAGCCATAAGAGTTTTTAGTTTTCATGTTTGATATAGGAAGTGGTTGACAATACTTTTAATTTAATGCTACCATTTATTTCAAAAGGATACTGTCTTCCTCCTCTCCATTTATAGAAGCAAAACGTTGGATGATTTTTGTGACCATAAGAAAAACACAGTCCATCTGTCTTCTGGATCTTCTAACTTTTCAAATGTTGCATATACATACTCTGTTTTCTCTTCCTCTATCCTCCTCGTCACCTCCCTCTCCCATTTACAATTTCCTGTTGCTGTCTGTTCTCACAGGCAAACCGCAATTGTCTGGTCATGGCCTCCGCACGTGACATTCAAGAGCTGGATGTGTCATCCATCTTGGCCACACAAATTTTGACATGGATAGACGACGATGATGCTGAAGCCAAAGGGTGTGTGTGTGTGTGTGTGTGTGTGTGTGTGTGTGTGTGTGTGTGTGTGTGTGTGTGTGTGTGTGTGTGTGTGTGTGTGTGTGTGTGTGNGTGTGTGTGTGTGTGTGTGTGTGTGTGTGTGTGTGTGTGTGTGTGGACTGTCCTTGATGAGTAACATCAACTCACCTTTTCACCCTCACAGAGCTAAAAACAGTGTGGGCATGGGACAAAGTGATTGGTTCAGTCAAGGTTGTGTAGGTGGTGGAGATACATGTATATGTATGAGTGCACACCACAATCTATGCATGTGTGTGTAGCTGCTTCTATTTGAGAGATTGTGATAGAATCTCAAAACAAAGGTTCTTTCTGTCAATATGTTCTTTTTCTAGTCTGAATAGCTCAATAAATGCACACTGCACTGACCAGCTGAAATAGGTTCTTTTTAAATCCTTGAATCAAACCTGCTGTCTTTCTATACTGAACATCTCTGCATCTGTCTCTGAAATAAAAACCAGAATTCTGTTGTCATGTCATGAAAGTGTCTAATTATTGTTTTGTCTGTAGTGTTGGAGGCGATGACTTCCTGGTGATCCATGCACGTGACGACTTCGCCGCCCTCCATGGCACCACGCCGTACACCCACAGTAGCCCTGGTACACCCATCAACATGCCGTGGCTGGGAGGTCTGCAGACAGGCCGGGGTGCAGCCATGGTGAGTTCTGCACCTGTATCATGTAGAAGTTTTGACTACTATTGGTTCTTGATGTGCATCCATCGTCTCTTCAGTGGGCGATGAAATATGAGCTTCTGGTTTCTTGTCTCTGCTGGATCTTATTATTTTTCTTATTTCTGTCTAGAATTTAGAGATGATTTAAACATTTTTAGCCATTAACTGATTGATCAACAAGCCTCCATAGCGTAGAACACAACAACAGTAGAGCTGAGGTGTTTGTGTGTGTCATAATATTTAAATTCAGTATAAAAGATATTGGCAAAGGCCTTTACATTAATGGTAATGACAGTATGTAGGTGCATTTTTTATTAATTAATGAAAATACAATAATCTGGCCAAAAAAATGCACAAAACCCTTAAAATAATTGCAATTTTTTTCAGCTTCCCTTCTTTAGTTTCATGTTGGTACAGGATGAAAATATCACTAGAAATTGGCTTTCTATTTTCAATCCATCACTCAGTTTTTATTTTAATGATATTATTTTTAGTCAAAATGTCACATTTTCTGCAGTGTAGACACAAACCACACATTGCTTTTAGCTATAACTTCTTTACCAACAGATGATGAAATGACAAAAACTGAAGTTGATAATTCGTCTTTGTCTCGGCTCAGTGGCTTAAAAGCCTCATGGCTGCAAACACAAGATGTCCTCATCGATTTACTAAGGCATTATGATGCTGTTGACTGCTACAGCTTGTGAGACCAGAGCTCTGTCTTTTCGTGCTATTTTTAATGAAAAGTCTGTGAAAGCTGTTTCTCTAAAGCGGCGAAACTTGGCGAGAGCAGTGTGGAGGGAGATTGATTTGGTTCTAGTGTCTTTGAATGGAGCAGCAGTGAGTCATGTTTGTTGATATTTACCAGTTTGCTCATTGCTCTCGATATGCTGTCTGGACAGTGAGAGCCGCTCTGCATCGTGATTATTTCTCAGTCCGGCAGTTTGCTCAAGGTTGGAGCAGAATGCAATTCACGTCGCTCAAGCTTTATTCATACAGCACCAAAACACAACTTACATTATTTCAGGACACTTAGCAGAGTGAGGTGGAGACCTTCCAGTGTTATAGAGACAAACCCAATAGTTCCCGTGAGAGAGAAAAACTCGGGGTCTATTCTTTGGAAGTCCAGGGCTATTTTGGCCGTTTGTGAAGCTTTTATATGCAACATAACAAATGTTAGTACATAGTACTTCAACATATCAACATATACAAAAATACACACAAAACATAAAATCTGATATGAGCTTATGTTGTCAAATATGTTTATCATTGTCTTTGCATTCCAAGAGTGAGGGGAGGTCCCAAGTAATGCAAATATAACTCAGACAAAATCAAACATCCACTCCGTCCACTTCTTTCTCTTTACTCACTTCCTGCTCTCTGC